AAAAAAAAAAAAAAAAAAAAAAAAACAGAGAGCACGTGTACCTCATTACCTAATCCACATCAGCTAACCTGTTTTTGTATTTATACATACGGCCACAAAATAACCCGTCAACGCAAAAGGAAGAAAAAGACAAAAACTGCGAGTTGTAACTACATATCTATCTATCTATATATACATATATATCGTCACAAATATATGTATGTATATATACTATGTATGTCATTCATCCCTTACACGCATATCTATATATAGGTATACATGTATATGTTTATTCCTATTTTTAACCCATACGCAAGAGTCTTGTTCCATCCTCTATCAAATACGGAGGGAGCCAGAGCAGCACACGGATCAAAGAAAGAAAGAGAGAGAGCGAGAGAGAGAGAGAGAGAGAGAGAGAGAGAGAATAGAGAGGAGAGAGAGGAGAGAGAGAGAGAGAGAGGAAATCGTGATGGTCGCCCATTTCTTAGTTCAATGCTTCGAACGACTCTGATCAGCGAGAGAGAATTGAGAGGAGAGAGAGAGAGTAGAGAGCTGACGACGTCATCGTATCCCCCTCCTCGTTAGCTTCTCGATCCCCTTTGTTTTCTCTTCCGTCCTCCTCGGCAGCGAGGGGAGGGGAGGAGAGGAGGAGAGGAGGAGAGGAGGAGAGGAGGAGAGGAGGAGAGGCGGAGAGGAGGAATGTGATGGGGAGAGAGAAGAGGAAGGAGGGGGGTGGGGTGGTTATCTTCTCCTGGGCTTATTTCCACCACGCGCAGGGGGAGGAGGAGTGGGAGGAGTAGAAAAGACAGGATATACAGTCGCTGTGGAGGCCGTCCGATCTTTTCGATCCTTGGATGCATGCGATGATGACGATCCCGATCCCGATCCCGACCCGCCGCTTGCCGCATGACGATGACCCCCCTTAGGCCCCTTGGAAATATACCCACACGAGTCCAAGACAGAGCGCGCCGCGTTGTTGATATGCTTGAATCGGTCGGGACCTAGCAAGATGCCGCCAAACCATCGACTCACGATGACGACCACATTCGTTGCATTTACGATCTGCATCAGGTGCAGCAACCTCCCCCCCGCCGCGCTCTCCCCATCATCGTCGAAATCCTGGATCATGCCAGCTGTCTTATCCGGAACGGATATCCTATAGGCCATTATATTATGAGTAGCTCCCGCTATTTTTCTGTTCCTCAACAACGCCTCCATTACCATCTCCACGTCATCCACGGAATGCACAGGGGCTATATGACCCTGAAAGGTACTCTTCTTCTCTGTGAACGCGCGCCCGTGAACAATACCAAGAACTTTGTCGAGCTCTTCGAGACTCACCCCTTCGCTCATAACCTCCCTCCCATTAGCATGAGCAGAATTGGGAGTACTGGGAGTGGTAGGTGGTTTTGCACCGGAAGCAGGTCTAACTGCTCCTCCTCCTGTTCCTGCTGCTGCTGCTACTGCTCTTCTTCCTGTTCCTCTACCTCCTCCTGGCTTGCAATGCTCCTTGTTCCATGCTTGAGGAGAAGGATGATGATCCTCTCTCCATCCGCCTCCACTCGCAAAACTCTCCCCATTCTCCCATCGTCGATGGCGGTCGCCGATCGTCAAAGACGCCATATCCACTTCTTCTTCGTCTTCGTGATTGCCGTTTTCTTCATCCTTGCCCTCATCGTTATCCTCCCTCATTTGCCGTCTACTAGAAGCTTGCGGCCATATACTCTCCATTCTCAGACCTCCTACACTCTCCCCTGCATCCTCCCAAATCCACTCCTGCTCCTTCATCCATTCCACCCATGCAAACATGATGACCTCGCCACGTGACGCGCGGTACAGCTCATCTAGTCCATGTGAAATCCGTTCCCGCGTCTTTTCTTTCAGCCACGTGGCCTCTATTTCTGCAATCGGCGCCGATCGGGATGGGTAGGATGCCGGCAAATGCATACGCACAACCAGACTACCCGTTTTGTTACCCACTTCCCCACCACCTCCTCCTCCTCCTCCTCCTCCTCCTCCTGCTGCTGCTGGTGGCAACCCTAACCGCACTTCACAAACGTGCTCTTCCTTGACGATCTTGCAATCCTCACCGTAGATCGACTGCAAGACTTCATATTCCTCCTCCTGTAAGGTCAGGTCGTCAGCCATTTCTTTTGCGGGATTGCACTACAGCACGAAATATCCTATCGTCCCCCTCCCCCTCCCCTTCCCCCTCCCCCCCCTTCCCCAATCCCCAACCTCTTCCTCGTCACCCAATCCTAGCTTCTCCTCAGTTGACAGACCAAAAGCACACTCGCTACCTGATTGATTACTTCCCTCGATTGATTGATTGATTGATTGATGATTGATTACGTCTTTCGACCGATTGATTGATTAGGTCCTTCGATCGATTGATTAGTATTACTTCCCGCTTCGATGAGCTCAGTAATCAGTAATAAGTAACGAAAGCCTGCAGTGAAGTGAGAGTGGTCAAGTAGCACTCCCGTCGGGACTGGCAGCGGCCGCCGTACTAGTCCCGTGCGACGTAGATCCGAACTGGTCGCGACGTACGGCCCAGATCTCGACTGGCCGGAACTGATCGAAAGGGTCAGAATTTCATAGAGACTGGTCCACTCCCACCCCTTTTTGGTACCCCTCCCTTTTCTCCCCACCCCCTTTTTAGTACCCCTCCCTTTGTCCCCACCCCCTTTTTTGTACCCCTCCCTTTTGTCCCACCCCCTATTTAGTACCCCTCCCTTCTGTCCCACCCTCCAGCAGGAGACGACCTACCAATAGAGTCGGGATCCTTTTCCACGTGATCGCGATTCCGACGATGATCTTTCTGATTGATAGATGTTCTGGTGATGACATGGATTGTACTCCAGATAAGGAGATAAGGGTAGCAGAGGAGGATTTTATTTTTTTCCCGATGACAAGAGAATTCGATTACGATCTGAATATCGAATCAGTCCGGACGGCAAGAAGCTGGAAGCGAAAAAAAAGCTTTCTCCGCTGCAATAAACGTCTGTGCATCATCATATGCATTTGCGATTTTGCGATTTTGCGTATCTGCTTCACACCTACTACCTCCCTCCCCTAGAAGAAGTTTCTGCGGACAGAAAAAAAAAAAAAAACAGTATTGGTTCGTTTTCACAGTAGCAGCCAACGCGGCGATCTTTCCCGCCAATCAGAAAAAAAACGCGGGAAAGACCAAACGCACCAAAGGCGGAAACGCCACGTGAACGTGTAGATTACATGCTGCTGCCATTTTTTTTTTCTGGAAAACGTCGGGAAAAAGAATGAAATATATACTGTAAGAGAACAAAAGCTCAATCTTCTCTCCTGCTAACAGATGCACTCTCTACGGTCGCTCGCTCGCTCGCTAGCCAAACCGAAGCCGACACGAAAAAAATCTGCACTGCTGTTGAAGAAATATCTACTACTGCAGTGAAAGAGCAAAAGTTCCAAGGAAAAAAAAAACACCGAAAAAACAAGGAAACACGAGACAGATCTCCCTTTCACTGCTGTCCGATCCCCCGAATCGCCAATCCCCTCCACACCCCCCCCCCCCCCCCCCCCGAAAAAAAAAAAAAAAAACAAAAAAAAAACAGAACGTGTACGGAATAAAAGAAAGCTTCGACTAGTTTCGGTGAATGTACGGGGTCGATCGATGGCTATACATATGTAGATATATATATATATATACACAGTGACAGAGATGTCGATGGATGGATATATAGAGAGAATAAGGGGAGAGAGAGAGAGAGAAAGAGAGAGAAGTGAATAAACTATATACAAAAAGAAGAGAGAAAGAATGAAAGAAAGAAAGAAAGAGAGAGAGAGAGAGAGAGAGAGAGAGAGAGAGAGAGAGAGACGGAATGAAGCCAATGAACTAGGCCAGGTACGTGGACGGAAAAACAAAGAATTGAACGCAATGTGCGTTATCGAAAAGGAAGAGAGAGGCGGAGCAATCAGATCACGTGGGAATGTCGAGCAACGAACACAGAAATCCAATCACGATCGTTGGTCCGTACGAGTACAATCAAATCACGAATCACGATCCTCAGTTGAACGGAAGACTGATGGGAAGACCGAATAGTGATCGTTGATATCGGAACGTCAAATGATAATCGTTGATTTCGGTGTGGAGTGATTCAATCACGCAACACAGCGCTCCAAGATCGTCGATTCAGATGCGATGAATCAATCAGACTGGCCAGAGCCAAACGATCAATCAATCAATCAATCAATCAATCAGAAAACCGATTGCTATGAACCGATCGATCAACCGGCGAGCGCCAACATATCCAACGATCAATCAATCAATCAATCAATTGTTTTTTCATAAAATTCTTTTGTTCCCACGTACGCTCGATTTTTCATTGTTTTCTTTTTTTTTTCCTTGAGAAAATTCGAAGGGAGGAAAATCAACGATGGAAGCGGTGCGGACATCAATATTTGCGAAAAACAGGATAAGAGGAAAAAAAAAGAGGAACCCACATCCACAAAAAAACATCCACTTTTTTCTTTTCTTTTTTTTCTGGGGGGCGCTTGTTTGCCTTAAGAAAAAAAAAAAAAAAAACTAGGTCACTGCCACGCCCACCTTTTTTATATTCTTTTTTCTTGGGGGTGCTTGTTTGCCGTAAGGAAAAAAATACTCGTTAACTGCCACGCCCACCTAATTTTCACACACCCCGCCGCCCAGCATGCCTGACCTGGGTTAGCGTCGCACTAGGTACCACAGAGGACTGGATTACGCGCCTGAATCTGGATGGATTTTCGGCCCAGATGCAGAAGAGCACAGATGAATCGCTATTTTCTGCACCTCCGCACAAACACGTCCAGATTCAGTTTTTTTTTAAATCAGATCCCTCTTTTTCAGTGGGACCTCGCCCCTGCAGATTCTTCCTCCTCAATCCTTACCGCATGTATGTCTCGTTTTTTATCTCGTGTTTATCATTATTTTGAATTTATTATTATCCAAACAATATGAGTATATTATTATTATCTTCCACATCAGCACGGCCACGAATGCCTTCGTTGATCAATCAACTGTGCCCATAGCGTAGCACTCACTCCTCACTCGACGAGAGGAGCGAGAGTTCCACCTACTTTCCCTCTCTTCGCTTGATTGAAAGAAAAAGAACCCATCAGCATCATGAGAAGCGTTGCGGAATATCCAGTCACGTCACGTCACGTGATCAGCGTTATTGGCGTGACATGGCTTGATTGGTGTGACGTGGCGTTATTGGCGTGATGTGGCGTTATTGGCGTAACATGGCTTGATTGGTGTGACGTGGCGTTATTGGCGTGACATGGCTTGATTGGTGTGACGTGGCGTGACGTGATCATCAGTCAGTTCACTTGGCGAGCGGCCACACAGTTTCAACAGCAAGCCGTAAAAAAATATTCTAGAGATGTGCCGCCATCAGTTGGTGACAAGCTGCCGACTAGTACGCAGGGGTGATGGGCTGCTGGTAATATAACCGTGATTGATGGGTAATTAAGGAGTAATGACCGTCGTGATGGGTTGGGTGTGTTAATAGGAATAATCGTGACGTGACGTGGCACACCTGCCGTGATAGACTGTTGGCATGACGTGGACATAACCGGAGGTGACCATTACCTCCTCCCTCCTCCTCCTCCTCCTTTGAATAAACCGAAGTGTTTGAGATTCCGCGGTACTTAATTGCGACGTCGTCCGATTCGAAAACGCCGTGACGTGGACGTTACCTGATCCAACCATCAACACCTCCCCCCTTTCCACCCAATCAAGAAGAAGATCACACCCAACTGACAACCGGATCACGTGCTTGTGATTGATTGATGACGTGGCGTACTGATTGATGTACGTAGCCTCCCGCGACCTTCACACCACCCCCCTCTGATGAACCCCTCTAATGAACCCCTCTAATGAACCCCGATTTCCTTGATGGCAACTTATTTTACTATCTCGTAGCGCAGTCTCGACGTGGCGTGACGTGGCGTGACGTGGCGTGACGTGGCGTGATGTGGCGTGACGTGGTCCTCTGCTGATTTAGTTACCGCGTGACAATGTAGAGACAGACTGGATGTATCTGACCCCAATCACGTCCAGAGCTCAGTGGAAAAAAAGTAAGTCGTAGTGTGAGTAGGCCGTCAAATTCATCTAATTAATCAATCATGTGGCGCCAGCTCCATATCCCGACCGCATTCACTTCGCCTCCTCCTCCTCCCCTCCTCCCCTCACCCCCCTTCGACAACTCCCTAACTCTCCCCTATCCCTTCAACTCTGGTGACGTGACGTGGCGTGACGTGACGTGGTCCTCTGTTGATTTGAATTATTCCACGTGGCGATGTATGTAGAGACAGACAGATCTGGATTTCACGTGACGTGACGCGACGTGAAGCTGGGGTGTCAGAGCTAAGCGTCTTCACGTGTCACGCACTTCACCTTCCCTCCTCCTCTCTCCCACACGTTAACCACCACCACTCAAACCACAAACACACAAAAAAGGAGGTGCTTTCGTATCTCGTTTCCTCCCCCTCTTCCCCTCGTATCCCGCCTCCTCCTCCTGCTCCTCCTCCCACTTCCTCCTCCTCCTCCTGCTCCTCCTCCCACTTCCTCCTCCTCCTCCTCCTCCTCCTCCTCCTCCTCCTCCCACTTACCCCCCCTTACACCAATTGCTGCTTTGTCTTCACTTAATCAATCAACAATCAATCATGTAGCTTAATCAACCATCAGGATTTCACACTCCTTCATCAACCTGTCACTTACGGAGCTACGGCATTGCGCCCCGTCCTCTACCCCTTCTCCTTCTCCTCCCAGGCTGACGCACTCGGCCTCCCATTCTCAGGGCATACTCACACTACCACACATTCCGAAATGAATCCGACCGTAAGTTACGTCCAAGACTGGATGTATCTGGCCGCAATCACGTCCAGAGCTCAGTCGAAAAAATGCTCGTGTTAGTAGGCTCTCATGTTCATCTCATCAATCAATCAATCAATGATGTCGCGCCAGCTCCAAATCCCGACGGGCATTTGCTTCTCCTCCTCCTCCTCCTGCCCCTCCTCACTCCCTCCCCCTCGCCAACTCTCCACCTCTCCTCTCTCTCCTCTCTCTCCCTTCCAACTCTGGCAGCAGTTGCAGGCTGTAGCTATCAGGAAAACGGCGATGGTTCTTTTTCCTCCTTCAACCTCCTTGCTCCTTGGACCACAGACCGCGCAGCGTATATAGCACGTTCTATTGCACAAGCAGCTACAAGATTGAACGGGCGATGGCGCGCTGACTTGGCAAAGCAGCCCGGAGCCAACCACAGGCGATGAAGTCGAGAAAGACGACGGCCAGAAGAACGACAATGGGAAACATAAGACGAAGAATAATGAAGACGTTCTATGGGCTACACAGCACAGGAAGGGGAAGGGAAAAAAAAAGAGAAAAAAAAAGCGCACTCAGCAGGAATCTGTGCGTGTTTCAGACCAGATACATCGACGGAAGCTCTACGTTACCGTCGCTCTCTCTGTTAGGGCCAGCAGATCCCACTACTCTGG